TACGAGGGTCACTATTTAAGTTTTTTCAAAAACATATATAAGACAATGGGGTTTCATCGAAAATGGTTTTATTGTTTTTCAAAATATTCGCCATGATGATCAATACACTTTTGCATTCGCTCGAACCATTTGTCATAGCATTCATGCCACTCCGAAAGTGATATCTCCAAAACGTGTATTTTGAACGCATCAACTGCTTCTTCGGGCGATGAAAATCGTTGACCACGCAGTTTATTCTTCACGCTCGGGAATAAAAAGAAATCGTTGGGTGCCAAATCAGGACTGGACGGCGGATGACCCATTAAATCGATCTTTTGACCGGTCAAATAATCGACTGTTTGATGAGATGTGTGAGAGCTCGCATTATCATGATGAAGAATTATTTTGCGACGGCGGTTGTTTTTTCTTATTTCACCAAACACTTCGAGCAAACAAATGGTTGTGTACCAATCAGAATTGACGGTCTTACGAGCCTCTAGTGGAACTGTTGCCACATGACCACTTATCGCGAAAAAACAGGCGACCATTTGCTTCGCAACACTTCGAACTCGAACAACTTTTGTTGGGTTATCTTCACTTTGAAAGACCCATACAGTCGACTGCTGTTTAGTTTCGGGCTCATACGCGTAGATCCATGATTCGTCACCAGTGACGATAAAATACACGGATTTTGAAACACCACGATTGAATTTCTTGAGCATCTGTTTACACCAATCGACACGAGCCTTTTTTTGAGCGATTGTCAAATTATGTGGTATCCAACGAGAGCAAATCTTTCTGACAGCTAAATGTTCATGTAAAATCTTAAATACGCTGGTCGCACTAATGCCCAGGGATGCATCAATCTCGTGATATGTTACATGACGATCTTCCATTATCATATTTCTGACAGCATCGATGTTTTCTGGTACAACAACTGATTTTGGACGACCGTCGCGGAACTCGTCGATGAGCGATAGGCGACCGCGCTTGAATTCGTTGTACCAATTATAAATTGTCCGAAGACTTGGTACTTCATCGCCAAAGGCCAAATGAAGTTGATCAAAACACTGTTGTTGTGATACACCCAATCGAAAGTGGAAAAAAATAATCGCTCGAAAATTTTCACGAGTAAAATTCATTTTTTGGCTGAGACGCAATTTACATGTTACGGTAAACAATACAAATAACGATCGAATGACAAAACGTTCTGAGAACGTTTATGCTACAAAATGTTAAACTTAACGAATATGACAATGGTTTGCATCGGGCAATACTAAAACATACATATTGAAGAAACTTAAATAGTCGCCTACGTATACCTTTATTCATAGGCTATCGAATAGCACATTCACTTTACACTGAACGGGGCATTATCTTCGATTTTTCTCAGTATGCGTCGGCTTACACTCTCCAGCAAGTCACTTTCGAGTATCTTATTGAAACCTATACCATTTTTTTGTGCATAATTTGTGCGAATTTGTGCATGCATTTTTAGAATTTGTGCATAAATGGCTGATGAGTTATTCAGCTTTATATTTTGTGGTGAATTTCGGTTTTGGATGCAATTCAACATTTTTCTATGGCCAAAAAATCGGAAAAATTTTTGTGCCATTTTTTGTGCATAATTTGTGCATGCCAAATATGCCTTCGGATCGGTCGTACACTGCAAAAAATGCATCAAAATCGATTTGACGTCAATTTTCCCACACAAATTCACCACTTTTTTTTAAATAATTGGAAAAATAAAAAAAATTCTTTACCATTTTTTGTGCATAATTTGTGCATAACAAATCCACATCGCACCGAATTTGTGCATGCAGGGGTAGTTCAGTAGTCGACTTGAGCAATATTCACCAAAATCACTCAATGAGTGAAAATCGATTCGGATTAAATTTCTTGAAATTTCTCAGTGGTAATATTTTGTGCATCATTTGTGCATAACAAATTCACATCGCACCGAATTTGTGCATGCAGGGGTAGCCCAGTGGTCCACTTCACTAATATTCTCTAAAATCACACAATGAGCAAAAATCGATTCGGATTAAATTTCTTGAAATTTCTCAGTGGTAATATTTTGTGCATCATTTGTACATAACAAATTCACATCGCACCGAATTTGTGCATGCAGGGGTAGCTCAGTAGTCGACTTGAGCAATATTCTCAAATTTTATTAATAATTATAATAATAATAATAACTGCACCGAACAGCGTTCCTTCGCCTTGGTGGTTTATTGAAAATAATTTAATTAAATAAATATAATATAATACAACTTGATCTTTATCAAGCATTTTTGAGAGAGAAAATGAAAAGTTATAGCTTCTCTCATGTAAATAATATAAATTTCATAAAATAATTTTTCAACTGCTTAAAATTTCTATAATCCATAACAAATTTTTTTATTTATCTGTTTTGCTTTAAATAATTTTCTATTCTCAGTTTGATCGTTGATAAATTTACTTCTAAATCAATTATATTTTTATCACAGTTTGGCTTTTTTTAGGTATAAAAATCGTTGAATGATGTAAGCATATAATTCAATGGCTCATATTTTGTGTAATCAGTTCTCCTAATTGGTAAATCAAATAGTGGTGATGCTCTGGTATCATGTGCTGAATCATAATATTCCATACTGTTTGAAACATAAGTTGACTTTAAATCTCCGTGAATAATTTTGAAAATAAAAGACACTTGCGCCATCTTGCGTCTCTCCTCAAGAGTTATCATTTGCAGAAATAGTAGTCTGTGTTCGTATTTTGGCAGTCTAAAATCGTTCCAGGCCATTCTCCTCAGAGCATACAATAAAAATTGCTTTTGGTGCTGATGTGGCCACGTCGTATTATATTCTTCTATCTCTCTTTTCATAGATAGGAACATTGGCATGGCCTTAAACTAAGCCTGCCAGATTTTTTTTATGTCGATCCGGTCCGGATTGTCCGGGCGAGTTTCCTCTAAGTCCGGGCGTTAATTGAAATCCGAGTGATATCCAGGCGAATCCCTGCAAAAAATTTTTTTCACTCAAAACGAAAATACTGGCAACGTGAAACAAGCGAGATGTTATATTTTGACTCTCAGTTTTTATTCGTCTCATGTTTTTGACGAAAGCAAATATAATATTTATCGGTTCGAAATAAAAAGATATACATTTTCAGTGCTAAAATTATTGAAGTTATTTGTTGAAACATAGTCGAAAACAGTAAGAAATCCAGGCGAAATCCGGAGTTTTTCCGTCATACAACATGCCACACCGTTCGAGTTGGTTTGGATCGTGAATTGGCACTTTGATGACTTTTTGTTTGATAATCAGTTTCACAACACTTTCAATGTCACTTGGCAAAATTTTTTGTGCCACCTCTTCTCCGTCTGTGTTCAATTCGAACACCTTCAGTTTCAAGTACTTACTGGGTGATGTGTTTGTTAAGATGCGTTGTTGAATTGGTGACGACGTTGTTTGTGTATTGATTGACCAAATGCTTGAGGCCATTGCTGAAATCTTTGTTGTTGGGTCAATCAGACGATATTCGACAATACCTAAAAATGAAATATGTTTGTCAAATTCAACTGAATTGTGTAGTCAAAACTCGCTATTTTATAAGGGGATGAAATTGTTCAAAATATCTAAATAAATCAACTATTATTATTATTATCATATTACCTTCGACGATTGCTTTGAATTCAGGGTCGATACGTGGCAGCTCTTTGGTCCTCGTAGCTTTGTTCCTCGTGGTTTGTACGTCGACTTCGGTTTTGGTGGCTGATTGTTATACCATAGCACTTGGTTAAAGCAGAGTTGTATGCTCGTACGCCTTTTGCACCTCGAACAAGAACAGCAATGAGCCCAAAACGCAAATTGAAGTGGCTTGCAAACTCAGGTCAGTTATTTTGCTCATCAATGCTTGCTGGAATTGTGGGCGAATGCTTATCTTCAGCGCACATTTGATCGTCGTAATCTCATCCTTTGTTTCTCCTTTCGCTGGTATGGATGACTTGAAACGATTCGTCATTTTCCTATTGAAAAAAAAAAACACACACATTCGATTTAGTTTAAAAACGAATACTACTGAATGTGCGATATTAAGACATTTTCATTGATCCATATCAATATTTTTTACTAAATGATTTTTCATATTTTTGATACCTGGCTGAGACACAAAAATATCGAGATTTTTTTTATAGAAATTGACGAATGATCAACTTTTTTCGAGCGACAACAGAACAAAAATCTATCTCCTTTTTTGGTACAAACACAAAATGATGCAGCACACAAAAATGACAAAAATCTTCGGATTGATAACAATGGCAGTGATTTAGAGAAGAAAACAATTGAGTATTGTGATTCTTTTTGAGCTCAAACAAAAAGCTATTAACTGTTCCTCTTCTCTGAACAATGGAACCAATTCAAAATGGGTACCACTTCACGCAACAGAACTATGTACTGCAGAATAATTGTAAAATTCATTACTTTTTTCATAAAATGATATTTCACACGTTAAATAATTACACTGTGCGACACGACAGTGACACGTTGACATTCTTGGTCATTTTTGACCATTTTGGATACTTTTTGTGTGGTAAGTGTATTCAAACCCAATTTTATAGCAAAAACAGCATCATATTCGGTCTTTTCATGCCAAAAAACCCCAAAATACTCATTTTCAGAGCGTTTGAATGGATACCATTTTTACTTCAAAATGTGACTTCAGAGGGGAATAACCAAATCAATTTTTTTTCAAATGACCCAATTTTTTTAAAACGAATTGTGTGGCATGACTATACTTGAACCGTACTACAACGCCTGATAGGTCACCACTCTGGGATATTGCATGAATTCAAAATGTTACTAGAGTATAAACAGCCAATTTTGGTTTTCCAGAAAACTCTCTAGGAAAATTGTGGAAAAACCTGACGTGATAGAGAAAAACGGGTGATGCCATTGAAATCAGTATACTCGAATTATGTGAAAACGGTGGGTCTCGTTTCTGTCATATTTTTAAAGTTAAAAAAAGACGCACAGTGTGACTACTTAAATATATTTCATATTATAAATGGCTTATATTACGTGCTATGAAATGAATTTCACAACAAGAAGTAGAGGAATAAAGCACGTATTTCAATTTTGGATTTATCATTAAAAATAATAGTTTTATCGATGAATTACCAAATATTTTTCACTGTGATAAAATGATTAAGTTTACTAACCCTGGCGACTTGAATTCAACAATCTGTCTGAACTCCGGATCAATCGATTGATCAAGTGTTAAAAAATTCGAATCAAATAGATCAAATCAAAATAATATGAATTGTCAGCAAAATCGTGGAATAATTGGAATTTACACTAGTGTATAAATATCGTAGTGAAATGTGAGATTGATTTGTTCACTTGGTATTTACAACGCCAAACGTATTCTCGGTATGAATGAAGCGGCGTATATGACATTTCAAAAACCAATGAAATGATCCTCAAATGTCATAAGGCTCGGTTCACATCAATAATACTAATTCAATATTTAGATATTAGACAATTTTTGCTTCGAGAAGTAATGCAATGCTACGATTTAAAACAGAATTTTATGCTTTTTAAATTGAAACATATCATTTTTTTAATTACATATATGAGAAAAACTCCAATTTGCAGTCAATTCAAATTTGCCAAAAAAGTGAAGAGCAAAAAAAACGATTCTATCGTCATTTCGTACAAATTGTTGACATCGTCAGGGACCCCCCATGGATTTTTCCAGGGACCCCCTACGAAATTTTGCCATCACCCCTTCCCCCTGAATTTTTTTACGTCATCATCTATGAATTGCGTAAATAAAAAATACCCGAGCCCATCAAATGAGGATTACTTAGTTTAAAAATGGCACTAGTATTTACGCAGTTGAACATTCAAAACGTTGCAGAAATTCCTCTCTTTTTACTGTCAGTATGGACTGATGACGTAATGCAACGTTCCGAATATACAAATGTATATTAAGTTTTTAATCACACAGTACACAGATAAAATTATCTATCATTTATTTTCGTCACAAAATTGATATCAGAAATTTTGTGTTTCACACTTTGGTTTCGTTACTCGCTCTTCACCTCGTCAGAGGTTTTTTATTGATATCAGTAATTTTGTGAGGGTAATTTTCCAAATTGAAGATTCAAAACATCTACACACACATGAATTTTTATAATTTTGAAATACAAATGTCATAAATTATGGCTCATAATGGGGACGGCAAATTTTCAGTGGTGTGTGGTATACACTTTTTTTATCTTTGACTTGGGGCATAAATCGATGAGATTCTCAAAAGAAACTATCCATCGAGAAAATATCCGTTATGTGTCCGGCACAGCTGGGCACGAACAGTCGGTCGTTCGTTCGTACATTGAAAAAATATATTTTTGTGGTCGGTCGTTCGTTCGTTGAAATCATTAATGATCGGTCGGTATAGGTATAGTCTATACCAGAAGTAACCTCATTTTTTCAATGATGAAATAATAGATGAATTTCATAACATTTCGTAAAAAAAAAAATTAATATTTTGAACACTTGAGGAAGAAAATTTATATGAATTAGAAAATATTTAAAAATTTATTTATTTAAATATTTTTTTCTTTAAATTTGTCCAATTATAAATTGTTTAACAAACCTGATTTCACAATTTTGCTTCGAACATCCGGACGTCCGCACGTGTTCGGTGTTCGATCGCACATACGAACGAACACAACGAACATTTCAATTTTTACGAACGACCGACCGACCATTAATAACTTCAACGAACGAACGACCGATCACAAAAAAAGAAAAAAACGCACACGAACGACCGATCACAGTCGGACATTGATGTTCGTGCCCAGCTCTGGTGTCCGGTCAAATTCTGATTTTTGGCCGATTTGGCCACCCTAACTTGAAATTTTTAAGTCGCAATTGGCACCATTCGATAGCTTACTTTACGACCTTTCCAACAAAAATGCATATGTTCGCGGTAAGTCAAGTCTAAGTGCCACAGCGATTGTTTGAAAATATGGCAATTTTTTGCCATTTTTGCGCTATCGAAGGCCACATCTTGTAAACAAGAATTTTCTGAGATATAAGCCATGCGGCGTTTTTAAGCTTTGACTTGGGCCTAAAATCGGTGAAATTTTCAATGCATCAAGTTAGGCTAGTTTTCGAGATAATGTACGTCATGTGTCCGGCCAAACGGTAAATTTTTGGTTTTTAGCCAATTTGGCCACCCCACATTAAAATTTTAGAACCGAAAATGGCACCATTCGATAGCTCACTTCAAGACCTTTCCAACGATATGCATATGTCTGGGGTGTGTCAAGTGGATGTGCCTCGGTGACCGTAAGGACAAAAGTCAAAAAGTGACTTTTGGAGGCCGGCCACGGCGGCCAAATCGAAAAGTGCCGGAACGAAAAAGTCTTAGTTTTTTGTCTACTTTAATCACAGAAAGTTTCAAAAAGATCAGAATGGAGTACGCAAAATTGGCCACAGACAGACAGACATTTTGATTTTTCATAGAGATTCATATGAAATTTTTAAAATGCTGAATTTTTCGAACAGATTGACCGATTTCGACGTATGAGGTATCGTTGGAAAGGTATTGAGCTCTAGAATAAGAATATCGGGGGTCAATGATCTCATTTGGTGCGTATATATGGTCGTAAGTCCGAATTTTGACCTTTTTCTTAAAAGGAATATATTTTGAAGACAGGTGGACCAATTTTCAAACTTTGGTATTACTTTTCCACATACCTAGTGTGTAAGGTAAAGCATTGGAATCGGTCGAAAAATTACCACCCATCAAAAACATGTTTTCTGGGTGTTTTTGAGGCCAGGGAACACGAATGTAGCGTTTTTTCTATATCTGAATGTATGTGCGTGGTACCCTGTACGCTTTACGCTGTTAAAAATTTGTTAACACGATAACTTTCAACCAAGGAAAGTAATTCAAAATCCGACTTCACAGGATGATTGGGGGTGCCGAGGAATAGAAATCATTTGATTTTGGGGGACTTTGGTTGATAGAGTGAAGTGTCATGTCTGGTGTGATGTCCATAGAAAAAATTCAATTTTTCTTCCAAAAGTCGTACTTTATGTTACTTATGATAAATGATATTATAACATATGTCCATAAAGTTTTGGCAGTAAATTCAGGCGTTTATTGCGCCACATAAACAAAATCAAAAATATCAACCAATGCACACGGCACGTTTATCAGTACCTCGGGACTACTATCAAACTCAATTCAATGAAATACATCCATTCGCGGAGACGTACAAATTGGATTTACGAAAAAGTGTCTCAAATGGTTGTGGCGGCTAAGTTCAAAACAAATTTCGCATGTGTCTAAAGATAAACCCATCATGGACTTAGTATGAAGACAAAGATTCTAGAGAAAGCAAAAAGTACGGTCGTATTCCCTATTTAAATGCTCCAACCCTCCAAAATTGTCATCAAGTACCGAAAACCGGGTTGGTCAAGCAAAAATTCGTTTTTGGTGATTTTTATGGTTACAGCACATCAAAATTTGAACCAAAACAATAGATTTAGACCCGGTCATTAGGAATCAGCAAAATAAGTAATGCAAAAATTCAATAGGGTGTCAAAAATTGGGTATTTACTTCACCTCATAGCATTTTGCACTGAAAAATTCATCATTTTGGACAGTGAAACATTCATCGCTATGTCGAACCACGAATCAAGTGCAAGTGGTTTCTTTTGCATTGATTATGAACTACTATATAAGGCTAGAGACGTCGACAAACCGAACTTTGATAAAGGCATGTTTGTATGGTAGGATCTTCTTTGGAAGGTGTTTTAGAGCCAATATTCCAGAATTTGGTGCTGAAACGTAAGGTGAAACCTCCATTACATGCTCCATTATCAACTAATTGTTGTTGAAATCGATTCATTGAGAACTATCTGATTTAACACAAAATTTTGGTTTGCAAGCAGAAAAAACCGCAATAATGGCTCACTTCTTAAAATATGACATTTCCGTGAAAAAAGGACCATCTGTTTAACTTCCCAAAAAGACACCAAATTAATTATTTCTCGTCTGTTTTTGGATGTAAGTTATAGGCGAAGGTCCAAAATACTTGAAACAAGCAACAATTAGCGGGAATGTTCGAGAGAAAGTTGAAAGAAATCGACATATTGGTCCGCCAAAGCATGATTTTGAAGGTTCGACGCATACTGAGAAAAATCGAAGACAATGGCCCTTTAAGTGTAATTTGAATGTGCTATTGATAGCTTATAAATAAAGGTTTTAATAAACAATTTGAATCGATTTTGTTAATTTATTGTAAAACTGATTTTCTGAATACAACAAAAATAAATTGCTATGCAATAGCAAAGATGCAATCGAATCAAAGTTCATGTAAGGGGGCGTGTAATCTATTCTTCATCTTCTTCTTCACCGGCACCGCCACTGTTTTGTCCCTTCTTCATGTTCTTGCGCTTTACACGTCCTGGACGACCTTGACCGAATGGTGATTTGGTCGAGAAGTCAATGTGTTTTTGCGAATCCAAACGAACGATGAATGATGGGATGTTGACGACTTGTTTGCGAACGCGAATGTGTCTTTGACGGATCAATACACGGGCATGATGAATGGATTTGGCCAATCCAAGTTTGAAGACTTGGGTTTGGAGACGACGTTCCAAGAAATCTTCAATTTTCAAACCCAACACGTAATCGAGTTTCATGTGTTGTTCATCCAACACACCGATACGAACCAAACGACGCAACAAAGCGTTACCTTGGAACAAACGTTTCTCATCTTTCTCTTCGAGGGTCAACAATTCACGAGCAGCTTTACGGATTTTGGCCAATGTATACTTTACACGCCATACTTCACGTTTGTTTCTCAAACCATATTCACCGATGGTTTTCAATTCTTGGTCCAAACGAACCTTTTCGTATGGACGACGTGGTGTGACATAGGTCTTTGAGAAGACCGATGGAATGCGGCCGTTAACCATTTTTACTAATGTTTTTCACGACGGTGTTTCGGTGTTTACGCCAATAAAAACGAATTTGATATTGTATGTTTGTTGTCCAAATGGCGAACGTCTGAATTTACTGCCAAAACTTTATGGACATATGTTATTTGCGATACAAATAATTTCGACACACTTTTCATACAAAAATTTCAAAAAGTTTGGATTTTTGTATGGAAGCCATGCCTGTATGATATCGTAATGAGCTGAAACTTTGCACAGCTTATTTTTTTCACACAAAAATAACATTCCGAGAGTTTGAAGACATTTCAATGAATATTAGAAGTACCTCTCAAACAAAATTTTGGATTTTTTGCTCCATTGTATTGAAATTTCTTCAAACTTTCAGAATGTTATTTTTGTGTGATAAAAATAACCTGTGCAAAGTTTCACGTCAT